CATGGGAGTAAAGACCACTAACCATAAATGCACTTTAGAGTCAAGACAAACCCTTCATAATTGAAAACACAGTGCCAAAACTTAAAGGCAAAATTTAAAAAAAAAAAAATCAGAAGTAATCCCACTGGAGATGGATTGAGACAATCTGTGAAAAATGGGAAGCATCCTTCTTGAATGTGACTAAGAAAGATGAGTGGGTAAAAGATTCAGTAGGATTTAAGTAAAGAGATGTATAAGGACAAGAGGGTGTTCTTCCTTACCACCATCACCTGCAAACGCAAAATCAAACATGGCAGAATTCTACCAGTCTTACGCAAAAGCAAATTAAGCAAAGCTAGAGTTTTAGAGATATGAAAGAGAAAAGTGCTGCTTGAAGACAGTCACGAGACTAATCTCCATATTATCCAGTCATATCAAAGTTTAAGGGGAAAAAATCCAGGTAATTTTAAGAAAGAGTTTATCATTTTGTGAACAGGATTGTTGACGATGCTTGTCTGCAAAACCCTATCTGCTGACATCACAATCTGTCCATGCAAGAGTTATTTTCATTAGCATATTCATTTCAAGCACTCAAAGTTCAAGACAAGCACTGAATTTCCACGAAACTTGTGAGATTTAAACAATCCAAATAATTTTCTCAGTTTTGCCTCAGATGTTCATAAAGATCTCATACACATGAGCTGTGTATTTATTCACTTTTGAGGATGTGGCTGTAAATTCCTAGTCAGGAAAAGCTGGGAAATGGGTTTACAAAATCCTTATCATGTTGAAGGACTGTATTTCCAAGTATGAAGCTTTCTTTTCAAAAAAATACTTCGTTAAAATCAGTGTGCTGCTCCATCACAGGTGAAAGAAGGCGACAAATGCCCCTTTACAAAAGATAGCATTTTAGCCTTCAACACGTGATCTACAAGAACAATAAAACCTATTCTGCAGCACCTGCAATGTTCTCTCAGACAAAGGCACCATCTTCAACCAAAAAAAGACCTGGCATAAAATATTACCATTCAATAAAAAATCATTATTTGGTCCCTTAAGTAGCCCCTGAAGTAGAAGGCTGTGGTGAAAATTTATCAGGCATTTTCCTCCAAATGGAATATATGCTTCAGTACCCTAAAAGGTCTATAGTACATAAAATTTTAACGGAATTGTTAATGTCTTTCTAGGTTTTATAATACCACAAAAGAGATACTCATCATGTGTTTTCACCACAGCAGATAAATGCTAATGCCTGTAGTAACAACACTTTCACAGTGGTTTTGAACACAAACCATCTTCCACTCTCTTGGTGGGCAAATTAAAGGGATCAATAAATTCTGTAGTATCTCCAGATAACACTCTTTACCTTCACAGACGTGATCAGTAAATTCACGGTGTACAGAAGGGACCACAAACAATTATTATGTGGATTCCCTGAAAGGTTACACTGCTCTGAGAAATGTAAAATGTCAAAGGCCTGGGCATTTCCATATGTAAACCCACGCCTTGATGTGGGAAAGGTTTGTGGAAGATTCTAAAGGTCAGATGTGAGGGTCTCCCTTATCAACAAGGTCATGTGTTAAGTTAAACTGAAACTAAAAGAAGTGTACTACCTGGAACGGCAAGCACCACTGATTACAGTAAATATACTTTTAAAGGGCAAGACATTTTAAAAGTGATGTTTAAAAGTGTATTTATCAGAATAAAGAAATATGCACATTAAAGAAGTTTTTCTCAGGTAATTTCCATAAATATTTCCAGTGTTATGAAAGTTAAAGCTACTTCAAAAAACCAAAACCATCTAGGGTCATAACTATTTATATATGGTTCCCTCTGATTAGAAAGAATAGTAATTTCACTAGAGATTAAAAAAAACCCCACATAGCTTTGCTGCCTATTTTAAACTGGTAAACTATGTATTTACTTTTGTTACAGAGTGAAAATTGTGCTAATTTTATCTTTGACATTTTGCTTTGTTTAGAAAGAAATGATGATTCAGAGGCTGCTAATCTTTTAGGAGAGATAAGTGAGAAAAATGGTATTATCTCTTTACAAGGGGAACGTGCAGGCACTAAAATACATCCTTGTATTTGAGCTAAACAAACCTTGAGCAGACATACACGGTCTTGGACAAGCTTGAGAACAGAAAAGGAAATTCCACTAGAATTACTTCAGACTTGTCAGGGTTTTGGTTTTGTTTTCATTTTAGGAGGAGAGTTTTTGACCATGTACAATCTCTCTTCAGCCTACTCCCACCTAGGCTATCTGGCAAATGTGAGTTCCTTCATCTGCAAGCCAGCTAAGTCTACTGCTTAGAATTCTTTTCTGTCAGCCATAGCACACCATGATGTGCCTCCTGGAAGCACACACTGTTCATCCATACGAGTTACTTAAACAAATTGCCTTCCTTCTGTATAATGGGCTGAAGTTAACGGCAGCTGAGACTGTCACTCACGGGGCAGCACCCTGAAGCAGGATGATAAATACAGCTTGAGCTGAGTGCCAGGTGTGATCCTGTATAGCATCTGTGGGCTCCTGGGGGGAGGTCTATGCAGTGATGGTGCTTTGCCACCGATGCCAACACCTTGGGCATTGGTAGGAAGGAGTCTTCCACTAGACAAGACCATTCCTGCTCCAGTTTGACCAGTGCTGCTCAAGTGACTGAACGGCGCTTTCCTGCTAGATGGATCTACAATGTCCTGATTCATTTAAATAAGGAAAGCTGGGCTTATTCAGAGTGCTCTTCTCAAATCCAACAACACCGAGCACTCATTAAAACAAGCAACCTCCTTAAACTTTCATTGAAACAATGCTACCCTTCCCATTTTCCCATGTACATGTAAGATTAGGGGTGGCAGAAAGAAAAGCACTTCTACAGCACACAACACAGATCTCAGCACCGCTAGGCAGCATGTGGGCAGGGAGTGAGTTGCTTTGTTTTGGTGTCCTTTTGTCTCCTTCTGAAGTTAAATCCTTCCAAGAGACTCCAACAGGCCCAGTTTAGAAGATAAAGGAATGAAGGAGCAGCTGCTATCTAGTTTCCATATTCATACAGAGAGCTCCTTACTCCCTCTTCATAGACACACAAATGAAGGTCGCTGTCCCGCTTTTTGTGATTTTATCACATTGCTAAATATAACGAATGTTAATACCTTCCTTTTTAAACGAGTCAAGGTTAGACAAACAGTCATGGAAATAAGCATATATTCTACCTAGGGCCAGGTTTCACATTATTATGCAAAACAAAAAGTGTCTTATACTTTGGATACACCTAAGGTAATCAGCCCAAGAATCTGAAAACCAAAAAGTTTCTCAAGGCGAGTAAAAGTTTGTGCTCTTCAGAAGCTTCAGGTTCTAGCCTACAGTTTGGTGCAGTTTTGGAGGTCAGATTCTGTCTCTGCAATTCCAGACAAAGGTATTCTATGGTTCACTTCTTGAAAATAAATGGAACTGCCCAGGGAAATTGACACTTTCCCTATTAACTCTGGAAAACATTTTCGTCTCACAAGAAATGCCTATCAACAGAAGTTAATTTACTGATTTGTTTTGTAAACATTGTGTTTTAACAAAAATGCAAGCCTGATATTGGAAATTAATGATTTTTGCCTTGCTAAATGCTGAGCCATATATAGATTAGTTTTATGAGGGTCACATCACATCACAACAAAAGGCCCTTTTTATTAATGGCTACTTTATCATTTAAAACATGTATGTTTAGTTACTTAAAATGGCAAATTGCTTTGCACTGTCCTTGAAGTGCATTGCATAAATATTGTATTAAAACCTTAGCTTACACTTCATAAATAATTTATTTTTAAAATACTCTTCCATGAGACTACCAGCTGCCGAGATGTTCCATTTTCTGGTAAAAACATGTATTTATTGCAAGTCTTATTTTAACTTGTTGAAGATTTGCTAAAAGCCACGTGTGATAGATGTTTTAGGAATTGTATTCAAACTAAAACCTCAGGAAGCTAAAAGCCTAATACTCCTAGTAGGTTTATACCGTTGCTGAGGCAGTTTCAGTTGAAGGGGGAAAAGCTGAAATCTATTCAAGGAAGCTTTCAAGTACAATTATCTGAAAACCTGAAAAAGACTTATAGTGTATTTTGCGATGATCAGAAGATTTTATAGATTTCATTACATTTCATTTCACTATGGTCCTCCCTATGCCACTTCCATTTCATGTTCCTGCATTTAAACTGCTGTACAAACTTGTTCAAAGTGCTAGACATTTAAAAAAAAAAAAAAAAAAAAAAAAATCAAAGGAAATTTCAGATAATTAACTTTGATGAACGAGCATATTTTAATTCATGTCTGGTAATATTCTTGTTAATGACATGTCTGCTTAGGACATCCATTAAAAGTCCATTAACTTAACAGGGAAAGTCTAATAAAGTTATCCTGGAGATTTTCTGGTATATTAACATTATGGACTTTTAATGAATATCTGCTGTAGGAATTGCTATTAGCAAGGCTACCATTCTAATTAAACTTGGGCTCTGAGAGTGAAAAAAAACAGTATAAAGATAATAACAAGTAGAAGTAGCACTTTTCTTGAAAATTACTATAAGGGAGATTGGTAAAGGTCACAAAACATGCCATGAGTAAGAGCTATAAATTACGACATTGTGGCTTGGTTTTTTGTAGCCTGGCATCCAATATATGTGTATCAGGTGCTTCCTTCATGTAATCAATTGCTGAGGCTCCCATTTACTTCTCTATTGTTGAGACTGAGCAGTACTGAAAGGCTAGCTAGGCCTTTCAGAAGGGTAGAAGATAGAAAATTTAAACACAGTTTTTCATGAAAATACAAAGTAAAAAGAGTATTTAGGAAAGCTATTAACCTATGGGCATCCAGCCTTGTTATCAACCCATCTGAAGCTTCGTTATGTCCTGCTACATTTCTGCTGATATTCACAACAAAACAGCAAAAGATCTTTCTATATGTATAGAACTTTTTATATAGACACATATATATCTTTTTACATATATATAAAACAAAACAACCCCCAATATACCTATTTTTTCATACTTATCCTTCACCAGATCTTCCAAACCAATCATTTTCCAGAAACTGTCGTCCCAACCTCCATCTGGAGTGTATGTCCACTTGCACACTACCGTACAGAGGGACCTAAAAAAGAGACAATATAGGCACAGGAAAATGAACACATTTGGTTTTAAACTTGTGACTAGAAGGAGTCTGTGCAAAATGATTTCTTCATTCACCCGTCAAAAATTCCAAGCATAATGCTAACATTAAAAAAAAAAAAATTGATTACTGTTTGGAGTGCATGTCTTGAGATACCTTAAAAGGACGTTATGTTTAAGATTCTTCTCTGCTGAAACAACTCCTGGTCTGGCCACTTCATTGCATAAATCAGTCAAATAACAGGCCATGCACATGCCCAGAAGACAGCATAGCACGAACAGCTCTTTAGCAAGCAGCTCAAAGATTCCTGCTTCTCCAGGCTGTACCTAAATAGCAATGTTTTGCACACAGTATGTCCCTAGAAAAACTTCCTATTGATTACATTGAAGCTGAATTACAATTTACAGGAGATTATGTGTGCACTGATAATTAGGTTAAATGACACTGCTTCAATCCCTGCAGGTGTAAAATGTCTGTATCAGGTGAATGTGTACAAGCAAACCTGCATCCAACTACCGGAGCTTCTGCACAGCATGTGTTCAAGTACCACCACCACTAGGTCTGTATTTCAGCAGAACCTGATGACAACTCAGTGACATGCTGAAACAGCATTAGCCTTGAAGCAATTGAGTGCAATATTAAGTTCTTGTTTCAAGTCTCATTCCTGATAAACCGATGCTGAACTTCGCTGTGACAGTACAGCATCACGGAACAGACTACAGGAGCAGAATATAAACAAAAGACAAGAGTACTTGCAGAAGTGTCTATCATAATACAATGTTTTTCTAACATTCTAACATCAGTCCTAAAAATGACTGATATCCCCAACCTCTCATTCCCCCAAAATATGAATAATGATCCTGAAGATTTATTATTACACAGACTGTTTTCTGCCTGAACACTAAGAATCGTCTCAGAAGATTAGTATTAACTTTTCAAGCACAATTTAACAAACTAAAAGGTATTAAAAGTGCTAAATGCCACTGAAAATTTCAGTTGTCTGTAGTCTTGGGAATACTACCCTATATCAACTGCAAGACATCTCGGATGTATCTCAGGGAAACACAACATCATAACTGTTCTCAAAGAGGAACCCCTTTCAGAGATGGATTTTCTGTGATGTCTTACAAGACAGCTTATTTGGGACTAATATTAAGCCAAGGTGTGATTTCCCAGACATATTTTTTTTATTAGACTGTTAAAATTTGAATGTATATCTTCAAAGCAAACGGAATTTTACTGAAGCATTTGACTTTTTCTTGCAGTTTCTCATAAGTAAAATCCAAACAAAATTCCTGTCTACAAAAAATATTTTTTGAGTTAAAGTAAACCCTCCCTTTCATCCAAGGGAACTACCTAGAGACCTAAATAAGGAGAATTAAACTTATTATTGTATTACATATTGTTACATTACCACATGTCTAGGAAAACAAGCACCGGACAATGACCCCGCTGTCTACAGCAAGGTGCAGTTACTGAACAAAGAAGGAAGATTTCTGCCTTCAGCCAACTTAAAAATAACACAGCAACATAGCTGATAGTCAGATCCAGTGAGGTATCCCAAAGAATATACACATATACACATACCAGCACCTACAACCTGTACCTATAAAACACAATCAAACCCAACCAGATACTCAAAATACTAAGTATTCACTCAAAGGGGAAGAAAAAACTTCATGTAAAATACTTGCTGCTAGTACAGATCCCATTGCACTTTTCCTACCGAGGCAAAGTAGAGTGTCTTATTTTACAGTAGTGCAAAAAACATGCAGTGAATAATAAAGGATTTGGTCTTTTTGAAAAAGACACCACTAAGGGAATGGATTCTGCTATTTTGAGGCTTGACAAATATACTTGTCATAGTTTCCCATGCATTTATATAGAAATACCTCACAAACAAAGCAACAGTGAGTGCCTCACCTCCATTAAAACATAGTAGCAGAAACTAAGTAAGAAATCAGCAAACAGGACAGAAATAGAAAAGCTATTTTTATTTACTATTTACAAATCAAAGTTAAGGTTTCTCCTCACGGATAGTGTACACACAATAAAGCCAAAGAACAACACAAAGAGCCTTTCCACACAGCTGGAAAACTATCTGGAACTCTAGTTTCACCATGGTTTGGGGGTTTATGAGAACCAAGGATGTACAAGTGAGAGCAGGATTCTCACGGGGTGGGACAGCTAAAGGCACTGTCCTTGGTGTAAATCCTCTTACATGACACTGAGCAGAAGATTGGATGATTATATGGTCTCCCCATACTCCCATCTCATCCAGGACAGAAATGTGTATTTTAAATGCATCATGTTTCATTTCATTCTATTCTTTTTGGAATGGTGATGTTCATTCACAATCCCACTGTTTAGCAAGGTGCTTTGTTTTGTCTTTGTAATGAGGGAATTTATTAACATTACACATTTTGGGGAAAAAAAAGAAATAGACATAACTTTATATCATTACAAATACTGTGGAGATTATTTCAAGGTTACTCTTCAAACAACTTTAACACCCCACCCTCTCCCCATTTTTAAAAAAACATGTTAATAGATCAGACAATTACAATTAAGTGTATAGTTTGAAAACAGAAAAGCAGAAAAGCACCTGTAACTACAGCAATGATAATGATAATGATATAGGAAATTCCAATTTCCAAGGATTTAAAAGCCAGTCATGGAAATCTAATTAGGACCTTTGACAAAAACTGAGCGAATAAATAAATAAATTCTAGGCTGAAGAAAACACTGGGAAAAAAAATAAACATTTTCCCAAATCAGCTCAAACCTCTCATTAAAAGGGGGAAAAAAAAAAAAAAAAAAAAAAAAAAAAGGTATTGGAAATAAAGCTCATTTCATCACTTTAGGAAAAATTTAGACATAAAGCGTGAAACAATAATGCATCAAGTTTTCCCAAATATGGTAAATACCAAATCATAACAAGTTATCATCAGAACAGAACATGTATTTTTCTAATTAGATCAATGCTATGAACTATTGCCACACTCTGAAAAATGCTCTAAGGATGAGAGCTAAATGTCATGGCTCCTCACTTTCAGAGATCACAAAGCAACTCGCTCTGAGTCTCCACGCTTAACCCAAAGAGAAACCGGAGCTGTCTTGCTGGACTCCAAAGAGCATATTTTAAACAGGGGCCAATTCTTCTATACAGCCCACGCTGAGGAACACCACATCATGTCTATAGGCCCACCGAAACAATGTGGATGGAGACAGAGCAGCCCTTGCCAGTCCACTGAGTTCCAGTGTATCGGAGCTCTCTTACTGGATCTGGTTGGACTGAACATACTCTAGTATGAAACAATAATGGGGCTGTGAGCATTTTCATCCTGCTTTTGTAGATTTATAAATGCAAAGTGCTTACAAAAAAAATATAAATAAATGATTTCTGGTTCAATTTTAACACAATATAGACAACATGAACTGTTGGAGGACAGTTCTTCTCAAGTGAATTAACTAGCAGATCTGATATGAAGACCAACCTCAACTCCAGGCTAAAATACTAACCTATTACACTGGTAGCTTTTTATTTTCATGGCCACGAGAACCTCAAAATGCTTGTTGTAAATGCAGTCTGAGCATTTACACTTCTCTGGAATTTAAGCTCCTCGTTCCATCATTGCTGCCACTCAACTGCCCCATAAAAAGTAGATGTTTAATTGAACAATATAGCTTTATATAAATCCTTAATATTTATGAGTAAGTAATATACTGCAGAAAGACATTCTGGTCTCTTAGATAACAGTTCAAGAAAAAAAGGATTTCTCTGGGATGCCTGTAATGACAGATTAACTTCACTACATGCTTCAAAAGAACAGGGATGTGTTGAACTCAAATCCCTGCCACATACCTGATGAAGTGCTCTAAGAATTAAACATAGCTGCTCAATTTGTATATCCTAGAGAGCTGTATGCATGTGTAGAGAGAGCAGTTGATTCATGTTTTTTCACCTTTGAATACAAATGGCATAGATATATATTAGCTTTTGGGAAGTCACTTGAAAATTCTCCTCCAGAGCATCACCCTGAGAAAGTGATAGCATGAACATGGAAAAACTGTATCCAAAAAGACATTATGGTAAAGAGGAAGGTGAGGAACCAAATCATTACACCTACAAAGAAAGCCTCAACTATTAGAAAATTTTGTATTTCTCAGCAACTTCTAAATTTATGAGATGAAGGCCAAACATTAAACAGAAACAGTACTGATACTCACTGTGGTATAATCCCCTTTTCTGAACCATTTGGCAGTACTGCCTCAATTATTTGGCCATAAACACCAGACTTGCACTAGCTGAAGCTGGATGAACCAGATGGATTGAAGCAAATGTTCCCCTTACTTTACTACCAGGATCAACTGGGTTCAAAGGTGCTGAGTTAATAGGCAATCATCTAGGCAACTGCCTCATCTAATGCAGGACTTGAGCAGATACGGTGCAGAACTCCTCAGTAGCACATGACATATTTAGCTAGGCTGAAATACCATGAATTTGAAGTTTGTTTTCCTCAAGCATGTTCCCAATACAATGAAATGAAAGATTTCCTTTCTCTGTTCTGAACAAAAAGTTTTGCTTAGAATACTCTTACTGGAGAAAACAACCCTTTTGCATGGAATTTTTTTATTTAAACCAGATTTTCAACAGGAACAGGATTATGTTTAGAGTTTGTTATAAATTCTAGTCTACAAAGAACTATAGGATCCTACTTGCATCCAAGAGCCTCCAGAAAAAAAACCCCTGCCACATTCATTACAAAGTAGATTTGGCTGGGCACAGAATATTACACAATCCTTCCTATTACTGTCTGGCTCTTGAGGTTTTGCACATCTCTTGCCGAAGACTGACTACAGACGTGCTGAAGTCCTGTATGACTAGAATCTCAGTATTCTGAAAAACCCACCAGCATTAGGTCCTTGTGAGTAAACCATGAGGTTCAGGGAGTCTGTAGGGATTAGGCACACATTGATAA